AGGGTAATTTTTAAGAGGGGTTTTTAGAGGAGTTTTTAATTATATTTTAAATTAGACAAGTTAAATATTTCATTTTAATTAATTTTAAATTTTGTGTTGTTATTGGTGTTTTTAATTGATTGTCAGCCGCCCTGAGTCCGCAAGGAGAAGGGCGGGATATAAATTCGAACAATAAATAAATAAATAAATAAATAAATAAGAATAAATAGAATAGAAAATAGAATAGAATAGAACAGAAATACAGAATAGAATGGAATAGAAATACAGAATAGAATAGAAATACAGAATAGAATAGAATATAGAATAGTAGAAATACAGAATAGAATAGAATAGAACTTTATTGTCACTTTGAATGTACACTAATCAGCATACATTAAAAAGAGATTTCGTTGCATACAGCTTACCTACGATAGAACAGAACAGAACAGAATAGAATAGAATAGAATAGAATAGAAATAAGAATGAATAGAATAGAAAAGAAAATAGAATGGAATAGAATAGAACTTTATTATCACTTTGAATGTACACTAATCGGCATACATTAAAAAGAGATTTCATTGCATACATTTCCCCTCCGATAGAATAGAATAGAAATAAGAATGAATAGAATAGAATAGAATAGAATAGAACAGAACAGAACAGAACAGAATAGAATAGAATAGAATAGAATAGAATAGAATAGAAATAAGAATGAATAGAATAGAAATAAGAATGAATAGAATAGAAATAAGAATGAATAGAATAGAAATAAGAATGAATAGAATAGAAATAAGAATGAATAGAATGGAATGGAATAGAATAGAATAGAATAGAATAGAATAGAATAGAATAGAATAGAATAGAGCTGGAAGGGACCTTGGAGGTCTTCTAGTCCAGCCCTCTGCTCGAGCAGGAAAACCTATACCATCTCAGACAGGTGAATGTCCAGTCTCTTCTTAAAAACCTCCAGCGATGGAGCGAATGAATGAATGAAACTTTTATGTGTCTTTACAGGACCCTCATTCCGATTTTGCACCAGAAAGCAAAGAGAGGGACCCCTCACCAAGCCAAGCAAGCTGTCCATTGCATACACGCCATATTTTCAAATAAAGAAGTCCAGCTTGCGCAAATCTTCGAGGTAAACTTTCTGCGACTGCTTTTTAAAAAATGCTGTCGCAAATTGCAACGGCATAGAATTTCATAAGAAAATCAAGTTAACTTGATTTAATTTGGAAAAAGAATGGGCAACCCTGATGAACATGTTACTCCTATAAAAATAGTACTCAGCGCTTAGACTTTTATACCACTTCACAGTGCTTATTATTATTATTATTTTATTTATTATTTATTCAATTTATATACCGCCCTATCTCCCTTACAGGACTCAGGGCGGTGAACAGGCGATAATAAAAACCACAATAAATATACACAAATTTCTGTCTAAAATCAAATTAAATAACAGGCCTGCTCTAAAAATACCCCATACAAAACCCCCACTAAAACATAATCAAACTACGCCCTCTTGACAGCCCTCTCTCTCTAAGCGGTTCACAGAGTCAGCCTCTTGCCCCCAACAATCTGGATCCCCATTTTACCGACCTCAGAAGGATGGAAGGCTGAGTCGACCTTGGGCCGGTCAGGATCGAACTGGCAATGGGCATAGTTGGAAGGAAGGAAGGAAGAGAGGGAGGGAGGACGTAGCAATAGCACTTAGACTTGTATACCGCTTCATAGTGCTTGACAGCCCTCTCTAAGCGGTTCACAGAGTCAGCCTATGATCCCTAACAATCTGAGTCCTCATTTTATCGACCTCGGAAGGATGGAAGGCTGAGTCAACCTTGATCCAGTCAGGATCGAACTCCTGGCAGTGGGCAGAGTCAGCCTGCAATGCTGCATTCTAACCACTGCACCACCCGTGCTCTCCAAGCAGCAAGATAAATAAAACTATATTTGACTTTCTGGTAGCTGGAAAAATTAAAGGCAAAAAATGTTAGGGTTTTGGAAGCCATTCTAACATATTCTTATAATAATATATTAGGAAACATATTCTTATAAATAATATATTAGGAAACATAATTCTTATAATAATATATTACGAGCCTGCATTGCATTTCTTGAGGTTTATGTATTTAATAAACCTACTCAGGACAGTACAATAATTTACTTCTTAAAGGCCGTCTTAACATGCAGCCGTTAACCCTTTGTTTCTCCCCCCCCTTCAGCCTCTGAGTCGGAGTTTGAATGCCGATGTTCCGGAACAGCTCATAACGCCTCTAGTTTCCTTGGGTCACATTTCCATGCTGGCCCCCGACCAGTTTGCATCCCCCATGAAATCCGTCGTTGCAAACTTTATTGTGAAAGATCTCCTTATGAACGACAGGGTACGTTGAGCATGATTTTGCGAAAGGTGGAATCCATAGGATGGGAAAGTGGGGGGGAAAGAATAGAGGGTGAACGCTGACGCCGAAATGGCTTGTCTTGGGTCGATGGTTAATGCTTTAAAATCTTGCAGTCCACAGGTGAAAAAAATGGGAAATTGTGGTCTCCGGATGAAGAGGTGTCCCCAGAAGTGCTAGCAAAGGTATGTAGCCATAGCAATAGCACTTACACTTATATACCGCTTTGCAGTGCTTTAAGGCCCTCTCTAAGCGGTTTACAAAGTCAGCCTCTTGCCCCCCAACAATCTGGGTCCTCAATTGACCGACTTCGGAAGGATGGAAGGAATAGCAATAACAATAGCCATAGCACTTAGACTTATATACCGCTTTACAGTGTTTTACAACCCTCTCTAAGCGGTTTACAGAGTCAGTCTATGGCCCCCCAACAATCTGGGTCCTCATTTTACCAACCTGGGAAGGATAAAGTCTGAGTCAGCCTTCAGCCTGTCAGGATCAAACTCCTGGCAGTCAGCAGAGTTATGATAATTAACTAGGTCTATTGTTAGTTAAATACATGTACCCAGACATTATGCTGTTTGCTCAATATTGGAAATGTTATTTGGAAAAACCTTAACCCTAACCCAAATCCCAACCCTAGAAAAACTAATAAAATCTGTACAAAAAAAAGAAAAGAAAAGAATAAAACAACCCTTTGTCCGGGATGGTATCAGGACTTGGGCAGGGGTGAGGCTAGCAGACCTCTTAAGGTCTTTTCTAGCACTAGGATTCCAGGCCAGACAGTGTAGCTGCTTTTCACGGTCTCCCCGTAGAGAACAGGGGTGCCAGTCTTTGTGTGGAAGGATGGCAGGGGGGGCTTTGAAGCACCTTGGCCCATCTCTGCTTTGGTGTTGTTTATTTTAGTTTTCTCGACCGTCAGACCTGTTCTTTCCTTTAGAACTGAATTCTCAAGGAATTCGAAGTGAGACAGACTTCCTTCACGGCAGTCTTCCTATTTTTTTATAAAAAGTTTTTTAATTGATTTTCTAATATTACATTTGCATATTTGAAAAGCAATGTGGCAGCTGAGTACAATAATTCCATTGCATTTAAATATCATCAATACAAATCTCATAAAGTATTACAACTAATTCTCTCTCTTTCCCCCTTAATATATACTGTCTCATATTCAAACCAACATAATTCTTATTCTATCAATCAAACAGAAAATAACTTTTCTAGCATTCACCAATAATCTTCAGTTTATACGTATCTTAATTAATTTAACATTCCATCTTTTAGGCAGTCATTGACCTAATAAATTTCTCTTAATTTTAATTTTCCATTAATATTTTAAATTTAACGTTTCATCTTTTTCATCCAAATTTTAAATGACCCCAATTTCTATCACGGTTCCCCCACAGTCTAAAGTTCCAGATATACCTCTGATCTATACATGATTCTCACCATCTGCATCAACCAATTAATAATACGAAGTAATATTCTTATTTAGTAACTAGCTGTACCCGGCCACGCGTTGCTGTGGCTCAGTCTGGTTAAATGGCGTGTGTTGCTTTTACGTCCAAGAGATGGCGCTGTTTTTCAAAAACATGTTTTTACCTGTCACAGGTGTGACATCTATATAATAGTAGGTATATAAAAACACGCGCGTATTCGAATGCAACGTTGTGTCAAAATTTCAAAGCAGTCGGTGAAGAACTTTCGGAGATTTAAGATTTTGAACAAACGAACATTTACAGTTTTATTTATATAGATTCTCCAGTATCTTAGAATCTTAAATTTAATAGCCAAGATTTCTTTTATTTCCACACTTAGTATTTCCTCTTTTTTTTCCTCTTTATGTCTCCTATCTCATATTTGAGACTAATAATTTTTAAACCTGTTAGTATTTATACCAGAAACCAATATACAGATTTAATGATTAGTATTTTACTTCTAAGTTTTACTTAACCAAAGTTTTTCTTTGTCTCGTCTCACAACAATATCTTGAATTCCAATCTTAATGGGTTAGGTAGAATTAAGAAGTATAAATATTAAAATGAGTCTTCCTATTTTTTAATACAGGTTCAAGCCATTAAACTCCTGGTGCGTTGGCTCTTGGGCATGAAAAACAACCAGTCCAAATCTGCAAATTCAACCCTTCGGTTACTATCCGCCATGTTGGTCAGCGAAGGAGACCTGACAGAACAGAGGAGAATTAGGCAAGGCTTGTGACCTACACACTTCACCGCTTTGATCTCTTGACGTGTGTCAGTATACCTCAGGTCTTGCATTCCCCTGCTGGATTTGGGATATACTGAATGCACAGGCGTTGAGCGTTTCAAATTTCTCTTCGGTTTGAATAAGAAATGCAACCTTTTTGAATATTCTGTGCTATATAGCAGGGCTTTTCAACCTTCTCACCCATTGTACCACTTTTAGGATATGGCAATATCCAAGTACCACCAGTCGCCTAGCAAGGTGTGGAAAAACTTAATGACCCACCCCAAAAAAAGGAAAAAAGTGATAAAGTACAGATAGCCCTCGACTTACAACAGTTCGCTTAGTGACTCTTCGAAGTTACAATGGCACTGAAAAAAGTGCCCCCCAAGCCACAGCCGAGCAAGACACCTGCCTGCCCACCCGGCCGCGCTCTTCCTCCTGTCCGAGGTTTCCATTGTTGTGAGCATTTCTGTTGAGGATTGGCAGCGGAGGTGGGGTAGGGGGGTGTTTGGTTTTTATTTCCCCTGTCTACTGGGTGGTTGCAGCAGGTTTTGGTCACTTCACATGACCCTGGGACACTGTGACCGTCATAAATATGAATCAGTTGCCAAGCATCTGAATGTAAGTCACAAGACCCTGGAGATGCTGCAACATTCCAGCTGATCGGCGCTTCTTCTGGGCTCAGCAGAAGCTCCAGGATCAGCGCCGAGCTCCAGCTGGAGCCTGGCGCTGATCCTGGCGCTTCCACTGAGCCCTGACAGCCCCGAAGAAGCGCCGATCAGCTGGAAAGCGGCACTGATCCTGGCGCTTCCGCTGAGCCCTGACAGCCCTGCAGCTCCAGCCGTCTCTCGCTCAGGCTTGTGCGTTGCTGCCACCGGTTCAGCTCATTCCCCTCCCCTGCTACCACTTTTCTAGGATGGTCGTGTACCACCTGCCAGGTGCCAATGTACCACAGGTGGTACCTGTATCATTGGTTGAAAAGCCCTGCCCTAAGGCAGTGGTCCCCAACCTTGGCAACTTTAAGACCTGCCTGTATAATATGTAGATGTGGAGCTGTCTCTATATCCGGCGTATTATACAAGCCAATTATATACAGGCCCCAAATCATAAGAGGAAGAAGGCGGACAATAAGATTCATTTTAGCTGAAGCACACCTAAAATGTCCATGGTTTTTGATATCTTTATAAACTTGGGACTGTTCTGAACTGCTGGATCCAGTTTTTAATTTACCCCGTGGGAATTTGAAATATTCTAAAGCAAAATGGTTCCTGAATTGTTTCCTTTTTTTAAAAAGTCATTTGCAACACAGAATGATAAATAGCTCTCAGATATGCCGCAGAAGCACAAAGTAAGTCCACCCTTGGATTCGTGGCACTTATTTCTCCATTGTGGGATTGTGGTTCCCCACGCTGGCTGGGGAATTCTGGGAGTTGAAGTCCACGGGTCTCAAAAGTGGCCACGGTTGGGGACCTCGCCCTAAGGGTGCCGATTCAGAGCTAGCAGGAATATAAGACCTGCTCGCGTGTATAAATTGTCCCTTGTGGCCTGTAAATCAACACAAAATCTTAGCACAAACATGCAGTCTATAAAAGACGAACAGCTTAAAAAAATAAATAGCCAAAGTTGGTTATTGAAATCCGTGTTTGTTAATTAATGTGAGACTTTAAGGGAGGGTGATACAGGAACCAGAACTCATTGTATCAGTGTGATACATTTTGTTAGAGCCGTCGACCAAATTGTGTGTCTTCAGATCTAAACGTATTTGTCTTCAGATCTAAACGTATTTGTCTTCAGATCTAAACGTATTTGTCTTGGAAATTTATACTTTTTTTTTTCTTTTCGTTTACAGCAAATCAGACATGTCGCGGCTACGGTTGGCTGCTGGCAGTGCCATAATGAAGCTAGCACAGGAGCCCTGTTACCATGAAATTATAACACCGGAACAATTCCAGCTCTGTGCGCTGGTCATCAATGTAAGGAGCATTGTTTCAAGCAATTTGACTTAAAAACAGGATAAAACTTGTGTTTGGGCTGACCTGCATGAAGCGTGAAAGGGAAACAAAACAAAAAATTAAATAAATTGTATCAGTGATTGATCTACAACGGGGTCTTCAAACTCGGCCCGTTTATGACTCGTGGACTTCAACTCCCAGAATTCCTCAGCCAGGCACGCTGGCTGAGGAATTCTGGGAGTTGAAGTCCACGAGTCATAAAAGGGCCGAGTTTGAAGACCCCTCTGATCTACAATACCCATAGATCAGGGGTCTGCAACCTTGACAACTTTAAGATGTGTGGACTTCAGCTCCCAGAATTCCTCAGCCAGGCACACGTGCCTGGCTGAGGAATTCTGGGAGTTGAAGTCCACAGGTCATCAAAGGGCCAAGTCTGAAGACCCCTGTCTTAAATCTAACAAACAAAATGGAGGCTGGCTGAGGAATTCTGGGAGTTGAAGTCCACGAGTCATAAAAAGGGCTGAGTTTGAAGACCCCGTTGTAGATCAATCATTGATACCAATTTATTTAATAGATCAGGGGTCCGCAACCTTGACAACTTTAAGACCTGTGGACTTCAGCTCCCAGAATTCCTCAGCTAGCATAGCTGGCTGAGGAATTCTGGGAGTTGAAGTCCACGAGTCATAAAAGGGCCGAGTTTGAAGACCCCTCTGATCTACAATACCCATAGATCAGGGGTCTGCAACCTTGACAACTTTAAGACCTGTGGACTTCAGCTCCCAGAATTCCTCAGCCAGGCACGCTGGCTGAGGAATTCTGGGAGTTGAAGTCCACAAGTCATAAAAGGGCCAGGTTTGAAGACCCCTCTGATCTACAATACCCATAGATCAGCGGTCTGCAGCCTTGACCACTTGAGGACTCGTGGACTTCAGCTCCCAGAATTCCTCAGCTAGCATAGCTGGCTGAGAAATTCTGGGAGCTGAAGTCCACACGTGTTAAAGTCGTCAAGGTTGCAGACCCCTGTCATAGATCAACAGGCTTTTTAACCTCTCGTATGACTGTTCTGTTAAGTTTGTTTGCCTTCTTTTTCTTAATTGTTCACTTGTCTCTTGCCTTCTCCTCCTACAGGATGAATGTTACCAGGTGAGGCAGATATTTGCCCAGAAGCTGCATAAGGCACTAGTAAAATTATTGCTCCCATTGGAGTACATGGCAATATTTGCACTGTGTGCCAAAGATCCTGTGAAAGAAAGGAGAGCGCATGCTCGGCAGTGCTTGCTTAAAAATATAAGCATACGGCGAGAGTACATCAAGCAGAATCCTATGGCAAATGGTGAGTACATTGGCTTGAAAGATGATTTTTTCTCCCATAATATTTCCATTTCTGTTTATGGCTTGGTAAAAATCCATCACATGCATGTTCCCTGTTTGCTTAAGAGACTTGGAGGCTAAAACATATAAGGAAAGGTTGCTGGAATTGGGTCTGTCTAGTTTAATGAAGAGGAGGACGAGGGGGGACATGATAGCAGTGTTCCAATATCTCAGGGGCTGCCCCAAAGAAGAGGGAGTCAAGCTATTCTCCAAAGTGCCTGAAGGCCGGACAAGAAGCAACGGATGGAAACTAATCAAGGAGAGAAGCAACCTGGAATTAAGGAGAAACTTCCTGACAGTGAGAACAATTAACCAGTGGAACAACCTGCCTCCAGAAGCGGTGAATGCTCCAACACTGGAAGTTTTTAAGAAGAGACTGGACAGCCATTTGTCCGAAATGGTATAGGGTTTCCTGCCTGAGCAGGGGGTTGGACTAGATGACCATCAAGGTCCCTTCCAACTTTTTTATTATTACTATTACTATTACTATTACTATTATTATTATTATTATTATTATTATTATTATTATTATTATTATTATTATTATTATTATGGAGAGAAGCAACCTAGAATTAAGGAGAAACTTCCTGACAGTTAGAACAATTAACCAGTGGAACAACCTGCCTCTAGAAGTGGTGAATGCTCCAACATTGCAAGTTTTTAAGAAGAGACTGGACAGCCGTTTGTCAGAAATGGTATAGGGTTTCCTGCCTGAGCAGGGGGTTGGACTAGATGACCTCCAAGGTCCCTTCCAACATCATCATCATTATCATTATTATTATTATTAAGAAAATTCTCTTATACTTAGTAAATGACAGTCTGCATGCCAGTTACTCATGTATAACCTTTAGATTATGTTTGTTTTTTGTATTTTGTTTTTTTTCCCCAGAAAAACTCGTATCTCTACTGCCCGAGTATGTGGTGCCATATATGATTCATCTGCTGGCTCACGATCCAGATTTTACAAAACAGCAAGATATTGATCAGCTTCGTGATGTCAAAGAGTACGTGTCGCCTCTCTGTGTCAGCATCTTAAATGTTGGATTTAAATTGCCACATTTCTGGACTTTTTTTAAATACAAATTTTACCTCTTGATTTGTTAAGGGAAGGGAAGAATATTTTGTCACCTCCAGTGCCCTTGCAATTCTCCAAAGCCTTCGGCTTCTTTTGCCCTTTTTTGTACCAATTTGCCATCTGAAGATTTGTCATTTGAATTTCTCGCGGGAACTCGTGATCCCTAGAGGGAATGAGTCTGAGATAACAAACAGTATCATAGTTCTTGCATTTATTGATTTCATAAGCCTGGCAATTAAAGATTCAGTGTGCCAATGTGAAAAAGGAAGGAATTAGGACAGGTCAATTCGTATGAGAGAAGCTAATTAATTAATTAACTAAAAGAAGATTTGGAAATAAAATTGGATTCCTTTAAAGCAGCGGTTCCCAATCTTTCCTATAACCCTAACCCCTGGAACGCTTCTGATATATTCTCGCACCCCTTACAAAAGGTAATTCCTGATTATGCCTATACACTATAATTTTGAAACTTCTAAACCCAAGAATATCGTCTCGCACCCCTGGTTGGGATCCCCTGCTTTAAAGCTTTTACAATAAAAATAGGACAAATGTCAAAATAGGACAAATCAACAGCCATATACTTAACTCTTACTGATAATGTTACCTAGTTGGTATAATGAAACGTCTGCAAGAATACCAAGCTCCAGAATCCCATCTGTAGACTAATTCAAAGGAATTTTCATCTCTGATTTACCAGTTCTTAACTTTTAGCACTCAGTGAATCCTTGAGGCCCTTCCCTTCAGATTTTTTTTTTCTCTTCAAATATTACACACCCGTGAATTTATAAGTGCTGTGTTACAGTACAGTCTCTGGGTTTTGTTAGATTGGGAGGATATTTTTCCAAATCTTCAAAATTTCAAAATCTTCTGATTCTATGTTACTGATCCCTATCGATTTGAAAAAGGTTCTGTTCCATTCAGTATTACAGGTCCTCCTCGACTTATAACAGTTCATTTAGTGACCGTTCAGAGTTAACGGCACTGAAAAAAGTGACTTAACGACCGTTTTTCACACATAACAACCATTGGCAGCGTTCCCCGCGGTCACGTGATCCAAATTGAGACGCTTGGCAACTGACTTGTATTTATGACAGTTGCAGTGTCCGTGTGTGTGTGTGTGTGTGTGTGTGTGTGTGTGGTGTGACGTGATCCCCTTTTACGACCTGACAGAAAGTCAATGGGGAAACCAGATTCACTTCACAACTACGTTACTAACTTCACAACTGCAGGGAAGTCACTTCAGAACCGTGCCAAGAAAAGTTGATAAAATGGGGCAAAACTCACCTTAACAAATGTCTCGTTTAGCAACAGAGAATTTTTGGGCTCGATTGCGGTCATAAGTGGAGGACTCCCTGTACTAACTACATTTACAGATTGTATTTTTCCCTCCTCCAAACTTCATTAATTTTCCTTTGTAACTCCTACCTCAAATTTGGTTTTTTTGCCCTCATTTTGCACTGGGGAGGGAAATGCAGAATTCTAACTTAATCAGGGTCCAGGGTCAGGTCTGCTGGCGTTTCTATCAGGTTAAATTCTGCCTTTTTATCTAGAGAAAAGCATTTTTGTTTGTTTAAATATTTTTTATTAGATTTTATAAGGATAAAGGGGAACTGGGGTCAATAAGGGTATAACAAGGGGTGACAAACAAAAAAGGTTAGACCAGGGAAAGGGATAGATACAATAGTGGGGATGTCCCCCCACAATAAGTCAATGCTTCAGCAAGTAGACCCGTCCGGGTATACATATTCAATCATAATAATTAATATAAAATAGCAATACTTAATATACTATTACTAATATATTACTAATTAATTATAATAACTTTAACACATTAATACATTACTTATTGATTATCATTACTTATCGTTAAAGTCACAAATAAAAAGAAGAAGAAAAATTCATAGGAATAAACATGAAATTTAAATACAAAATACCACTTATCCCGTTAAGTTTCATAACCTTTTCTCATTCTATCGTGTTGCTAACCATTGGTAAAATTTATCCCATGTTTTAAAACAGATTGAGTCTTCTTTCTCTTTCATTTCTAAAGTTAATCTGTCCATTTCTGCACATTCAAGTATTTTTCTGATTATAATCTGGTCAGATGGTAGATTTTCATTTTTCCCAAACTGGGCAAATGCTATTCTCGCAGCTGTTAATACATGTAATATTAAGTACTCCTTCTCTTTTCCATAATTAGATCCTAATATTCCTAGCAAACACAATTCTGGTTTAAATTCTATCTTAATTTTAATCATCTTTTCTAACCACACATGAATCTTAAACCAACATTGCTTGGCGTTAGGGCATATCCACCAGAGATGATAGTAAGTGCCTGGTTTTTGTTTACATTTCCAACCAATATTTGATGCGTTTTAAAAGATTTTCTCTAATAGAGAAAAGCATTTTTATAACTTACTGGCATTTGCCTGTTTAGGTGCCTATGGTTCATGCTGGAGGTTTTGATGACCAAAAATGAAAACAACAGCCACGCCTTCATGAAAAAGATGACCGAAAGCATCAAACTCACCCAAGATGCCCAATCTCCAGACGAGCCGAAGGCCAACGAAGTAAGAAATGTGGAGACAGAGAAAAAGAGCCAGTTTAAAGCCAGTTATTGAACGAGTGGGCAGAATGCTTCCATGCCAAGCACTCAGTCTCTCCAGGGAGAAAATTAGTTGTAAGCATTTTGGGTTAGCAATCTCAATTTTAGAGAGGAAAAGAAAAAAAGGCTAGTTTAACGGTTAGCCACGCTAAATGAAAACAGCTTTCTCTCGGGGCGGGGGGAATATTACAGCTGAGATTGACAAGCGTACATGCCCAGACGTACAGCGAGCGGACATTAACAGAATAGCAAATTACGTTAGCCCACGGGTAGGCAACCTTGGCTCTTTTATGACTCGTGGACTTCAACTCCCAGAATTCCTGAGCCAGCCACGCTGAGGGGACAGGGAGAAGTTTCCAAGCTGAGCCATGCTGGCTCAGGAATTCTGGGAGTTGAAGTCCACCAGTCATAAAAGAGCCAAGGTTGCCTACCCCTGACCTAGAGGAACATATGAAAGCATAATTAATGTTAATTACTGTAGACTTTATTAGTTTAGAGCAGGGGTAGGCAACCTTGGCTCTTTTATGACTCGTGGACTTCAACTCCCAGAATTCCTGAGCCAGCCATGCTGAGGGGAAAGGGAGAGGTTTCCAAGCTGAGCCATGCTGGCTCAGGAATTCTGGGAGTTGAAGTCCACGAGTCATAAAAGAGCCAAGGTTGTCTACCCCTGACCTAGAGGAACATATGAAAGCATAATTAATGTTAATTAATGTAGACTTTATTAGTTTAGAGCAGGGGTAGGCAACCTTGGCTCTTTTGTGACTCGTGGACTTCAACTCCCAGAATTCCTGAGCCAGCATGCCTCAGCTTGGAAACCTCTCCCTTTCCCCTCAGCGTGGCTGGCTCAGGAATTCTGGGAGTTGAAGTCCACCAGTCATAAAAGAGCCACGGTTGCCTACCCCTGACCTAGAGGAACATATGAAAGCATAATTAATGTTAATTAATGTAGACTTTATTAGTTTAGAGCAGGGGTAGGCAACCTTGGCTCTTTTATGACTGGTGGACTTCCACTCCCAGAATTCCTGAGGGGAGAGGGAGAAGTTTCCAAGCTGAGCCACACCGGCTCAGGAATTCTGGGAGTTGAAGTCCACCAGTCATAAAAGAGCCAAGATTGCCTACCCCTGCGTTAGCCAAAAGAGCGCCTAATTTGGTGGGAACTTACATCCCGTGTACTGTGAATTGCGAGCCAGGCTCCTCTTGATCAGCCATTTTAAATATGTTTGCTATTTTGGGAGAAAAGGATGCCTTAAGTTTCTTCCCAAGTACAATCAAGTATAAAACAAAAAGCATAACATTCTTAACAACAGGTGACTTATCGATGGGGAGTAGCGTATTTTTCAGTTAAAATTGGCCAAATAATGTCCAAATTTCTCTTGTGTTGGTTTTCTTTTTTACTTCAGAAACTCTACACTGTATGTGATGTGGCCCTCTGTGTAATCAACAGCAAAAGTGCTTTATGTAATGCAGAATGTCCAAAGGATCCGGTATTGCCAACTAAATTTTTTACGCAACCTGAAAAGGTAAGTTGCAAAGTAAATCAAGTCAAACCTTTGAGTTTATTCTCTCATTAAAGCGTTCCTTCAAATAGGCCAAGAAAATACGGTGTAGGTTCGTGCCATGTTTCTAAATTATCTTTTTTTTAAAAGACGATTCCCTGAATAAAAAACTCTATTCTGGAATTGTTTCCTCTCCGGTGGAAACATAATGCTGAAAAATCTTTACATTGAATGTTTGTTCAGACATACTTAGTTTCTAATGCTAAGCAGAAAATAAAAATCCTGCCTGTATAACATGTGGATGTGGAGCTGTCTCTATATTCAGCGTATTATATAGGCCAATTATATATAGGCCCAAATCATAAAAGGAAGAAGGTGGGCAATAAGATTCATTTTAACTGAAGCACACCTAAAATGTCCATGGTCCTTGGTATCTTTATAAACTTAAGACTGTTCTGAACTGCTGGATCCAGTTTTTAATTTACCCCGTGGGGATTTGAAATATTCTAAAGCAAAATGGTTCCTGAATTGTTCCCTTTTTTAAAAAAGTCATTTGCAACACAGAACGATAAATAGCTCGCAGATATGACGCAGAAGCACAAAGTAAGTCCATCCTTTGGAATCATGGCACTTATTTCACCATTGTGGGATTGTGGTTCCCCACGCTGGCTGGGGAATTCTGGGAGTTTATTTATTTATTTATTTATTATTATTTAGATTTGTATACCGCCCTATCTCCCTTACGGGACTCAGGGCGGTGAACAGACGATAATAAAAATCACAATAAATATCTATTCTAAAATCAAATTAAATAAATAAAGGCCTGCTCTAAAATACCCCATATAAAGTTGAAGTCCACAAGTCTTAAAATTGCCAAGGTTGGTCACCCCTGCCTTACATGGACCTTTATTTACTTTGGAATCCTATCTAGAAGCATCAGGGTGCAATTACTGTCAAACTGAATAACCAGAATCTCTAAAAAAAAAAAATACTAAAGGCTTGATTTTTCAACTTGCAATGAAATGCTTTTTCCCCCCCCTCCTTTTTCTTTGAAGGATTTTTGTAACGATAGGAATTATATCTCCGAAGAGTTGAGAGTTCTTCTTTTAACAGGAAAGGTATCGTTTTTATGGATCTAATTCTTGATTTATAACAATATAACACGTTATATTACCTGTCTTTCAAGTTTTGGGGGAAAGTAAAAACGGATTGTAATCTGGATCGTTGACTTGAGGGGGAATCACAATTTTAGGATTGCGCTCTTCAAAGCACTTAGAATTCCACATAAATAAACTTAGCTCTCTTAATTTGGAATGGACTCAGTCAGCAGAGCTGTGAATTGCACCATAAGTTTGTGCTGGCAGGACAATAATTTTCAGTTATACACGGTGCATGTGTACCAGCTTAAACTTCAGAAAGTGACAGGCTCAACAGTTGTAAATTGAGGACTACCTATCCTTCTACCTCTATTTAAAAGCTTATTTGCACATTTACCATGGGTGTTGTTGTTTTTTTTATTCCTGGATGGTTGCCAAAAACAAACAAGAAAAGACTTGCAATTTTTAGTGGTAGAAAGAACCTGTGTGTGTGTGTGTGTGTGTGTATCTTTCTCTGTCTCTGTCTGTCTGTCTTTTTCTTTTCTCTCTCTCTCTCTCTCTCTCTCTCTCTCTCTCTCTCTCTCTCTCTCTCTCTCTCTCTCTCTCTCTCTCTGTGTGTGTGTGTGTGTGTGTGTGTGTGTGTGTGTCTTTGTCTTTCTTTCTGTTTCTTTTCTTTCCCTGTCTCTCTCTTTTGCTCTGTTTGTGTGTCTTTCTGTGTGTCTGTCTGTCTCTCTTATTTCTCTGTCTCTGTGTGTGTGTGTCTCTGTCTCTTTGTCTGTCTCTCTGTTTCTTTTCTTTCTCTGTCTCTTTTGCTCTCTCTGTGTGTGTGTCTTTCTCTGTGTCTGTCTTTTTCTTTCTCTCTCTCTCTCTTTGTCTGTCTGTCTGTCTGTCTCTCTCTCTCTCTCTCTCTCTCACACACACACACACACACACACACACACACATATACACAAGCAAACCCTCTCCCTGTCTTCCTTGTAGTGTCTTTTATATCTGCGGTTTCGTACCTTCCAGCACACGAGCAATCTTGAATTTTGCCCATGGCCTTGCTCAGCAAAACAATTGTGTTTACATAGAAAGTGCAAAAGAGACTGAAAAACTGCAACCAACAGGATAAACAAATAAGTTTACTTTTCTCTCCTTTTTTTTTTTTTTAAATCCACTTTCTATTTTACAGCCGAAACCAACCGGCGTATTAGGGGCAGTAAATAAACCTCTGTCTGCAACTGGAAGAAGACCGTATATTCGAAACACAGGATCAGAAACTGGAAACAACAACAGTGTAAATTCAGAGTTGAATTCCCCAACAGAAAACAGAACGAGGTAGGTGGCATTTTCAGTAATGAGGCTGAGGTATTAAAATACAAGCTCTTGTGTTAAAATAGTTTTTTTTCTCAGCCTGAAACTGCAAAGTTTTTGAGTGTTTTTCTAAACTGAGTATTTCTTTCTGAATTTTGACAATTTAACTCCAAATGCAGCTGGCCCCCGTTTCCTTGTTGATCGTTCGGTTTCATAGCTACAAAGAAAAACAACAACAACAACCAAATTTATATTAATCTTTTAAAAATTTGTCCAGCAGAGAGCCGAGCTCGGATCTATCAGAGACGGGTGTCAGCGAAAATGATGAAAATCCAGTGAGAATTATTTCAGTCACCCCAACAAAAATGGAACCTGTGAAAAACAAGGTATGGTCAAGCTACTTAAAAAAATTTATTATTTAGGAAAACTTAATAAAGAAGCTGTTAGGATGACCGTTGTACTAATTAAGCAGTATAGATTGTGTGTCCGTAATGTTTCCGGCTTGGTGAATTACATGTAGTCCCCACAATTGATGCCCCAAATTTCTGTTGTTAAGTGAGACGTTTGTTAAGTGAGTTTTGGCTCCATTTTATGGACTTTCTTGCCACAGTTTGTTAAGGGAATCGCTGCAGTTGATAAGTTGGTAACCTGGTTTGTTAAGCGAATCAGGCTTCCCCCACTGACTTTGCTTGTCAGAAGGTCAGTAAAAGGGATCACATGACCTTGGGACATGGCAACAGTCATAAGTCTGAACCAGTTGCCAAAAATCTGAATTCTGATCACATGATCATGGGCAGGGGTCTTCAAACTTGGCCCTTTGATGACTTGTGGACTTCAACTCCCAGAATTCCTCAGACGGCCATTTTGATGAAACTGCATGTTTGGATCCAGACCAGGGATCTTCAAACTTGGCCCTTTGATGACTTGTGGACTTCAACTCCCAGAATTCCTCAGGCAGCGTGCCTGGCTGAGGAATTCTGGGAGTTGAAGTCCACAAGTCATCAAAGGGCCAAATTTGAAGACCCCTGTCTTAAATCTAACAAACAAAATGGAGGCTGGCTGAGGAATTCTGGGAGTTGAAGTCCACAAATCATCAAAGGGCCAAATTTGAAGACCCCTGTCTTAAATCTAACCAACAAAATGGAGGCTGGCTGAGGAACTTTGGGAGCTGAAGTCCACAAGTCATCAAAGGACCAAGTTTGAAGACCCCTGCTTTAAGGCTTTTTTCCTTTTCTTTTTTTTACAAACGAAAGTACCTTTGTTTTCCCAAATTAAATTAAATTACTAATCTCGTCCCATATCTTAGTCCATTTTTTAAAAAAATAAATCCTGTGTATTTTGCCTGGGTGAGGAATTCTGGGAGTTGAAGTCCACAAGTCATCAAAGGGCCAAGTTTGAAGCCCCCTGATCATGGGGCTGCTGCAAAGGTCGTAAGTGTGAAAAACTGTCCTAAGTCACAATTTTGAAGTGTTGTAACTCTGAACCGTCACTAAATGAACTTTTGTAAGTCGGGGACTAGTGGCAGTTCCTGTGAAGCATAAAATGTGAACCTGCAAATCACAGGTCACAGATCAGAAAGTTTCTGATCCTTTCCTTGATCAGCCATAGGACTCACTGCGGTTCTCTTTCTATCCTTCTCGGCCTGCCTTCCCATTTATTGTGTTGAGAACAATAAAGTTGTGACACGCCCTTGTCACCTTGCAGTGAGATGGGCCCCGAGCAAACTTAATAAATAATAATAATCAAACGTGCTGCCTGCTTGAACACCACGTAGGGGAGATAGCTAAAAATCGAGTTTTAAACGGAAAACTCTAGTTAGAACTCGTTAAACCGGATTCAGTATAAATCTGACATCAGAGAGACTAAACAGAAATCACATGGGCTTTTATTTATATCCTGCATTTATTATTTTTATAAATTACTCACGGTTGGCAAACATCCCTAATATTCCTTCCTCCTCCTGTTTTCCCCACAACGATAACCCTGTGAGGTGGATTGGGCTACAAGATAGTGATGCAGCCTAAATCCCCCAGCTGGCTTTCATGCCTAAAGCAGGATTAGAACTCACAGTCTCTTGGTGATTGGCCCAAAGTCACCCCGCTGGTTTTCATGCCTAAAGCGGGACTAGAACTCACAGTCTTTTGGGTGATTGGCCCAAAGTCACCCGGCTGGTTTTCATGCCTAAGGCGGGACTAGAACTCACAGTCTTTTGGGTGATTGGCCCAAAGTCACCCAGCTGATTTTCATGCCTAAAGCAGGATTAGAACTCACAGTCTCTTGGTGATTGGCCCAAAGTCACCCGGCTGATTTTCATGCCTAAGGCGGGACTAGAACTCACAGTCTCTTGGTGATTGGCTCAAAGTTATCCTGCCGGTTTTCTTGACTAAAGTGAGACTAGACCTCATTGTCTCCCAGTTTTCAGCCTGGCGCCTTAATCGCTAAACCAAAGTGGCTCTCTCATTTTCAGATCAAGTGGGGTTCTGATCTGACCTTCCCACCGTGATGTTAAACCTACTGCCTTTTCGCTTGGAGGTGGCCAAAGAACGACTTAGGTCAGCGGTTCTCAACCTATGGGTCGCGACCCCATTTGGGGTCGATCGACCATTTCACGGGGGTCGCCAAGCAAGGCTGTCCGCCATTTTTTCCCCCTTTTCCGGCGGGTGCCTTACCTCCCTTGGGCTGGGCCAGCTGGTGGTCGGCCTGCTCCGTCTCTGCCGCTTGCCAGCTACGCCTCGGCCGACGCAGGGGGCGGAACCACGCATGCGCGGCGCTCCCGGGCAGGGAAAGTCCTCGACTTACGGCCGATTGGGTAGTCCTCGACTTATGACCGGTTTAGTCCTCGAGTTACGACCGGTTTAGTCCTCGACTTACGACCGGTTGGGGGTCGCGGCATTAAAAAGGTTGAGAACCACTGACTTAGGTCTTCTGTGAACAGGCTGCTAGAAAAAGGGCCCGACGCAGAGAGGAGAAATCCCTCCTGCGGCCCGTAAATCCCCTTGGATGAATTACAGGGCGTTGCTTTCAAGGGGGCTGCTGGAGTTGTTGTCCCTCGTCTTGGAAATGCATTTCAGCCACAAGCCGATTGAAACAGAGACAATCTCCACCTGACGCTCGGTTGACCCCCAAAAACCACTATTATTATTTTTTAATTCTTTTCCAGGAGATTAATTCTGACCAGGCACCCCAAGAAAACGTCAGTGCCGAGCGGGGCAAAAAAAGAATCACCGCAGCAGCCGGGACGGAGAATTTCCATCAGAAAGCGGAAGAGAAGAAAACGGATGAAACGGGTCAAGCCGCTCCTCCCAAACCCCGGCGAGGACGTCCCCCCAAGTCTGAATCTCAGGGCGCCACCACGAGAAGTGCCGAAGGGAGTAAATCCTCCGGACGAGGACGGAAAAGGGCGGCACCGGCCCAAGAGGGTCCGGGCGCCCTGGAGGCGAGCAACGCCAAGGCACCAAAGCAGGCAGAGGCCACCAAGAAAACAGCACCAGCACAGAGACAGATTGACCTGCAAAGGTAAACGCCGGCTGGTTTGGTGTCCTTGGGGAAGGGGGGGGGAGGGTTAACCAATCCCGTTCGAAGGCTGCCCGCCTTAGCCCTTCCTGGCTTTATTGGGGGGGAATAAATCTATCCTTAAGAGAATAACTGAATTGGAAGGGACCTTAGAGGTCTTCTAGTCCAACGTCCTGTTGGAGAAGGAGACCCTCTACCCTTTCAGACAAATGGATTGTCCAGTCTCCTTTAAAACCTCCAGCGTCGGAGCACCCACAACTTCTGGAGGCAAATTAATTGCTCTCCCTGGTAGGAAATTTGCAATAATGGGCGATGAAGCTGTGATTTTTTTTTCCTCTGGGACAAATCTTAACCTGTCGTACTATGTGCTGTTTGCCTCCCTACCCCTCTCTCTCCCTACTGAATTTCCCCCAGATACAATTCTGCAATTTGTTCCTTGGATATAAATCCTCCCTTGTTCAGCCACTCCAAGGTCTGAGATTTTGGGATGGTACAATCATCTTCCAAGGTTTTGTGATGATACAAAAATAAAAGGAGTCACATACTTAAATCCTTTGGAGAACAGCAGCCTGCATAGTTTTTTCACGTTGACCCTCAGAGTCAGGGCTGTACCTGATTTAACATCAGCAGAAGAAGCCGATGGATTGGCAATATTCCTGTAGTAGACCCAGTTGTGTTGATCGCCTGCGTTGTATCTCTGAAACCGCAACTCGCCTTGCACAACCCATCCAACAAATCAAAGTGTATCTCTGCTTAATGGCTGTCCAGTTGGGGGAGCAGGATTCACACCAGGGCTGTGATCTTATGACCTCCAGTGCATGAAGGTCTCTTATTTAAAAATGTCTTCTAAGCAGCAGCGGCAGCTGTTGTGAAATATTGCCCCATCGCAAAAGGATAAGGAGTTTTGAGAATTGAAATTATCAGGCTCAAGAGACACTATCCCAAAAGTTTGTCCTTGTGTTTCTCGACCGTTTTCTTCCCCATAAGCCCTGCCATTCGAAATAGTAGCGGTTTGGTAAATCTTTTGTTCGCGAAAGGTGTTGTTTTCTATGCACAAGAGAGAGGAGCCAGAAATTGCCCAAAGCAAGAGAAATATCTCATATCTCTCTCGCCATTAGCAGACCATCTGCCTGGCTACTGACTCCTTGGTGAATTAAATGCACAAAGTCGGTGTTTTATCGTTTCACTAATATCCTCACGAACCTCCACATTTTGACTCACCTGTGGTTGTCCTCCCATCTCTTCCCCACAGCCCTGCTCCTTGCACACTTGAATGTGTTATGCACCTAGAAGTGATAACTGAGGGTAGTTGACTGCAAAGTCCCACCTAAAATATTCAAGAAATTACTGCAGTGGGGTGTGTGTGTGACTTGCTGTATCTGACTTGTCCTGAGGCCAGAATGTGATAAAACTAGATATCTCCTATTCTACTACGATGGTTAAGTCTCTTGCATTTTTAAAATTTCTGTATTCACGAAGGACTTAAGTCTTTGGATAAGACAGAACATTTAAATAAAAGCTGCTGCATATTATTTATGCACCACATAATAGGAAGGAGAAGCATGTTGCTTTGTTCTGGTTTTAAAGAAAAATCCACACTTTTATCTATTTGCCAGGACATACAGAGAGCTCAAGTGAGTGGGATTAATCTGATTTCGTCCCTGTGCATCAAAGCAAACTGACTACATGTATTTGCTTTGATGCATTCAAAGAATTTGGGGGTCAGCAAAAGCTTATAAGAGGCAGATAAAATTTGTGGCGCCTTCATTCCTTCTTTATAGCAAGCTAGCTTTGGAAAGCACTTAAAAGCAGATTATGTTGTGATCCTATTTCAAAGTGAAAAGTGTCACATTTAATAAGAAACGAGCACATTTTTGGATGGCCTACACCAGAGGGTCTTCAAACTTGGCCCTTTTAGGATTTGTGGACTTCAACTCCCAGAATTCACGTGCCTGGCTGAGGGATTCTGGGAGTTGAAGTCCGCAAGTCCTAAAAGGGCCACGTTTGAAGACCCCTGGCCTACACAATTGGGAGTCTACTTGATAAAGTGTGTGTGTGTATATGTATGTGTATGTATGTATATATATATGTATATATATATCTTGAGTTTGGTGCACCCTGTTGGCCCAAATATGGGAGAAAGGAATCTTTTGCCTGTATCTGCTCAAACTAGAGCCATCCACAGGCTTAGCAGTCGCAACTGCGACATCATATGTGTTT